TTCCAGTCCCGGCGCCTCTGAGGGTCTTTGTGTAGAAGCTGCAGCTACCACTAGTCTAGCACTAGCCTTTGTAGCTGGTTCGGGTGCGACCCCACAGACTGCACAGCTTTCCTTCACCCTAGATTCTGGAGCGTCCAGCTGTTTCTTTCGCGACTGTACCGACCTCACACCACTGCGCACTCCAGTCACTGTCGCCTTGGCTGACCCCTCTGTGGGACGTGTAGTTGCTAGCAGCACCACCACTCTTCCGTGTCCGGCGGCTCCCTCAGGTTTTCTTACAGGTTACTACACCCCCTCGTTCTCTAGGAACTTGGTGGGTGTCAGTCACCTTCACGACCTAGGCGTAGTCACTACTTTCCCACTGGACGAGCCTGTTGCCTCCTGCACTGTCGGTGCCACTGGGGCGCCCCTGGCCACATTCCACAGAGAGCCGGGATCTGGTCTGTACTCACTACACACTGGGTCCCACCACACTGAGTCGGGTCAGGTCAGGTCAGGTCAGGTAGCTGCTGTGTCGTGTGACTGTCGGTCCCTCACCCACCCGTCGGTCCTCTGGCACCACCGTCTAGGTCACCCGTCGTTCCCGCGTCTCAGTAGGATGGCACGTTACCGTCTGGTCTCAGGTCTCCCAGGGTCGCTTGCACCGCTTCCCCGCTCGCCTGCGCCGCTGTGCACTCCTTGCGTCGAGGGTCGGCAGCGCGCTGCCCCTCACTCCTCCTCGTTCCCCCCCACCACGGCTCCCTTCGAGACCCTGCACTTGGACGTCTGGGGCCCCTCTCCGGTCCTTGGCCCACGTCAGGAGCGCTACTTCCTGATTGTGGTGGACGACTACTCCCGCTACACCACGGTTTTCCCCTTGCGACGGAAGGCCGACGTGCCTACCGTCCTCGAGCCGTGGCTACTAGCGTGGGGTGGCGCCCAGGGCCTGTGTGGGCTTCGCCTACACTCGGACCGTGGTGGTGAGTTTTCTTCCACTCGCCTGGAGACGTTCTGTCAGGGTCGGGGGATCATCCAGTCTTACACGCTACCAGCATCACCGCAGCAGAACGGGGTAGCCGAGCGACGCATCGGCCTGGTCATGGAGGTTGCCCGGACCTCCATGTGCCATGCCAGTGCCCCCCAGTTCTTGTGGCCCCAGGCAGTCCGCTACGCCGCGCACCAGCTGAACCTGTGGCCCAGTGACGCACGGCCAAGGGTGACGCCGGTCTCCCTTTGGACAGGTTCTCCGGGTGTAGCAGCTGACTTCCGCGTCTGGGGTTGTCTGGCTCACGTTCGCGCCCCTGACGCGAACAAGTTGTCTCCGCGCACTCGTGCCTGCGTCTTTCTTGGCTTCCCTTTGGACGCCTCCGACTGGGTGTTCTACGACCCGGTCACCTACCAGTTCTTCGCTTCGCAGGACGTCACGTTCGACGAGTCTGTCTGTTACTACAGGAGTCGCCCCCACCGAGGTACTCAGGCCTTTTCCCCCCCGCTGTTCCTCACCCTTGAGCCCCCACCAGTCGCCCCGGTAGCCCCCCCCCCTTCGCGTCCTGCCCCGTCAGGTATGTCGCACGTCACTCCGCAGTCTTCCCCCCCGCAGCGTCCAGTCCCTGTCGTGTCTGGGGGTGCGGGAGGTGCAGTTGCGGAGGGTGAGGGTACTGGGGCTGCAGGAGCTGGTGGTGTCGGCTCTGGGGGTGCAGGGGTTGTGGGCGTGGAGGTCACTCCTGTGGAGGACACGGCAGCCTCGACTCGGCGGCCTCGCCCTGCCTCACCCCCTGGCTTCCCGTCCGTCCCGCAGTTTCCTCCTTCTTCTCTGCGGTCGGTTGCTGCGGAGCCTGGGGGTGTTCCTGCGGGAGGTACTGGAGGCCCCGGGGGTGTCGGTGGTGGAGGTGCTGGTTCTGGGGGTGCTGGAGCTGGAGGCACTGGCACTGTGGCGCCTACACCGCGCACTGTACGTTTCCTGACCCGTGAGCAGCGTCTCCTCCGGTTGGAGAGGGAGGAGCGTGAGCGATTTGAGAGGGCACAGCAGCAGCAGCAGCAGCAGCAGCAGCAGCAGCAGCAGGAGAGAGTAGAGGAGGAGTCACAGCAGCAGCACGAGAGGGTAGCGCAGGAGTCCCGGTCGCAGCAGCGGGTGCAGCTGCAGCCGCAGCAGGAGAGGGTAGAGGAGGAGTCACGGCCGCACCAGGAGAGGGTAGAGCAGGAGTCCCGCCCGCAGCAGCAGGTGCAGTTACAGACACAGCAGGAGAGAGTAGAGGGGCAGTCACGGCCGCACCAGGAGAGGGTAGAGCAGGAGTCCCACCCGCAGCAGCAGGTGCAGTTCCAGACGCAGCAGGAGAGAGTAGAGGAGAAGTCACGGCAGCAGCAGGGGCCGGTACCGTCGCATCAGACGCCAGAGGAGGCGGAGCAGCAGCGACTGCGACTACGCGACCTCCCCGACCCAGCACCTGCATGCTTTGTTCGTGGTCCCCTGTCGTCCCCTCCTGTTCCACCAGTTGAGTCCCTTTCCTCCTCCCAGTGGACTAGTCGTCCTCCCCTCAGTCGTGCTGTGTCTCCACAGCCCCGTCGGTCCCGTTACCGTGCAGACGGTCCGTTTCACCTTGTTCTCCGCTCTCGTGTTCCACCTCCTCCTGTCCTTCCACAGCCCCCTGAGTCGTCCCTCACTGTGCTTCACGACCCGTTGTCCGACTACCGTGCCTCCCGTCCTGTCGTCTCCCGTGTTTTGTCCGCGTTGGTCACTCACCCGACTGCACCTCTGTCGTCTGTCTCAGCACTTGTTACCACTGTCTCTGGCTTTGCCTCTTCCCACCGCCTTGACTACGCCGCTCACTTGGTGAGTGGCCCTGCACGTTCTCCATCCTCTGGGGGTGCTCCTGTCTTTCCCCTGGAGGTCGTAGAGGACAGGCAGTTCGAGCTTGGTTTTCTTGCGGCCGCTGTTCCTCATCTCTGCGCCATGCTGCTTGCCCCTGAGGGGGATCCAGACGCCCTTGACATCCCGATCCCTCGCACTCACGCCGAGGCGGTCTCGGGACCCTGGGCTTCGTACTGGATAGCAGCTGAGGAGGCAGAGATGGCATCTTATAGGTCCACAGGCACTTACGTCGACGCAGTCCCACCACTTGGGACGAATGTCGTCAGTGGCCGATGGCTCTACAAGGTGAAGCGGCCGCCTGGATCACCACCTGTGTTCAAGGCACGCTATGTTGCGAGAGGCTTCAGTCAGCGAGAGGGGGTGGACTTCTTCCAGACCTTCGCTCCCACCCCGAAGATGAGTACTCTTCGGGTGTTGCTGCATATTGCAGCCCAGCGCGACTACGAGTTGCACTCCTTGGACTTTTCCACCGCGTTCCTTCAGGGGAGCCTGCACGAGCAGATCTGGCTGCGTCGCCCGCCTGGCTTCACTGGCTCTTTCCCACCTGGGACCCAGTGGCAGCTGCGTCGACCAGTCTACGGCCTGCGTCAGGCCCCACGTGAGTGGCACGACACACTTCGCTCGACCCTTGCAGCTCTTGACTTCTTTCCGTCGTCTGCTGACCCGTCACTGTTCGTTCGCCGTGGCTCGACCCCGTTCTTTGTCCTGGTCTACATCGACGACCTAGTGTTCGCCACTCCCGACCGACGCGCGCTGGCCTCCGTGAAGGAGGAACTGCAGAGGACACACACTTGCACTGACCTTGGTGAGCTGCAGCACTACCTTGGCCTGCAGATCACCAGGGACAGGGCGGCTCGCACCATTACGCTGACTCAGTCGCATATGGTCGAGCAGATCCTCACGCGGTTTCGCTTCCCGTTCTCCAAGGTACAGCTCACCCCTCTTGGTGTGGATCATGGGCTCACGGCTCCACCTTCGGACGAGTCATTTGAGTCCAGTGGTCCATATCCTGAGCTGGTGGGTTGTCTCATGTACCTGATGACCTGTACTCGCCCAGACCTAGCTTACCCTCTTAGCGTCCTTGCGCGCTTTGTTGCGCCTGGGAGACACCGACCTTCCCACTGGTACGCTGCTAAGAGGGTGGCGAAGTATGTGGCGAGTACATCAGGCATGGGACTTGTCCTTGGAGGGAAGCAGCCAGTTACACTCACAGGTTACTCGGACTCGTCGTGGGCCGACGACGCGGAGACGCGTCGGTCTACACAGGGGTACTCCTTTAGCCTCGGGGCAGGTGCTGTTTCGTGGCGGTCGACTCGGGTGTCGTCTGTCGCCGGTTCCAGCTGTGAGGCAGAGGTGTACGCTGCGGCCATGGCCGCTCAGGAGCTTCGCTGGCTGTCTTTCCTTCTCACCGACCTTGGTGAGCGGCCTCGCTCTCCCCCAGTCTTGTTCGCCGACAACAGGTCTGCTGTCCTGTTGTGTGAGGAGCCCCGACTGGTTGGGAAGGCGAAGCACATCCAGCTTCGTTACTTCCTTCTGCGTGAGTTGCAGCAGCGTGGATAGGCACTCGTTCGACGTGTGGTCTCTGAGGCAAACACGGCAGATATCTTCACCAAGGCGTTGCCGCCTTGTGACCACCAGCGTTTCTGCACCCAGCTTGGCCTTGTGCCTGCCCGTCCTCACTTGCTTGCTTAGAGATGCCTTGTTCTGCATGTCTTGTACTCTTGCATCTCTTTATATTTGCTATATACCTGCATGTGGACTGGCCTTGTGGCTCCTTGCTTGCTCTCGGAGTGTGTGGTGACTTTGAGCTCCACCCTGAGATTTGTCTTGTTCTTGTAGACTGGTCTTGTGACCGTTGCTTGCTCTTGTTGTTTCTACAGGACTTCCGTCACCTAGACTATGGGGGTGTGTCAACATATATTTTATATGTGTTGTTTAGGTTAGTCTAGGTGTTACGTTTCTACTTACTTGCATGATTAGGGTTTGCTATATCTAGGGTTGTACTTCACATTTTCTATCAATTCATTCTTATCGTAACATCGTCGCCTCTCCCTCCCTTCCCGCCGTCGCATTTGGTGGGTTGCTGCACGAGCACGCGTTGTTTTCTTAGGCACGGTTGTCTCAGGTGCGTTTCCTTCTCACTCTCTCCGAAATGTCCTATTTTTTCCACTTTCCTCGTAAGTTCTCAATGCTGATTGGTCTCCTCTTAGCATTGTGCCTCCATTTTAAGAAGGGAAGAGAGGGGGTGTGAGGGAATGTGTGCGCATGGGAGAGAGCACGCAGGCGCATAGCGCGCTAGCGACTAACGGGCTGGCGCCAAACGCGCTGGTGCTTGCTGCGCTGGCGCCTAGAGTGCTGGCGCCTAGCGTGCTGGCGCCTAATGCGCAGGCGCCTAGAGCGCTGGCGCCTAACGCGCTGGCGCTTGCTGCGCTGGCGCCTAACGCGTTGGCGCTTGCTGCGCTGGCGCCTAACGCGCTGGCGATTGCTGCGCTGGCGCCTAACGCGCTGGCGCCAAACGCGCTGGCGCCAAACGCGCTGGCGCCTAGCGCGCTGGCGCCTAGCACGCAGGCGCCTAGAGCGCTGGCGCCTAACGCGCTAGCTCCTAGCGCGCTGGCGCTTGCTGCGCTGGCGCCTAACGCAATGGCGCCAAACCGCACTGGCGCATAGCGCGCTAGCGCATAGCGCGCTGGCGCCAAACCCGCCTGCGCCAAACGCGCCGGCGCCTAGCGCGCTGGCGCCTAATGCGCAGGCGCATAGCGCGCTGGCGCCTAACGCGCTGGCGCCTAACGCGCTGGCGCCTTACGTGCTGGCGCCTAACGCGCTGGTGCAGTGAGCTCACGCCTTGCTGCAGTGAGCTCACGCCTTGCTGCAGTGAGCTCACGCCTTGCTGCAGTGAGCTCACGCCTTGCTGCAGTGAGCTCACGCCTTGCTGCAGTGAGCTCACGCGTTGCTGCAGTGAGCTCACGCCTTGCTGCAGTGAGCTCACGCCTTGCTGCAGTGAGCTCACGCCTTGCTGCAGTGAGCTCACGCCTTGCTGCATTGAGCTCACGCCTTGCTGCAGTGAGCTCACGCCTTGCTGCAGTGAGCTCACGCCTTGCTGCAGTGAGCTCACACCTTGCTGCAGTGAGCTCACGCGTTGCTGCAGTGAGCTCACGCCTTGCTGCAGTGAGCTCACGCCTTGCTGCAGTGAGCTCACGCGTTGCTGCAGTGAGCTCAAGCCTTGCTGCAGTGTTTCGAACTTATATGCTGCATATTGTGTAGGCTATAGTGGGGTAGCCCATATGGGTTACAACCCAATTAGGGTTTGCTACTTGTACTCCTGCATGCTGCTAGTGCATTCATTCTCGTTCATTCTGCTGACATGGTTTCAGAGCAGGTCCTAACCTAGGACCGTTGTTTTTAGGGCCCACCGAACCGCGCTACCCCGCGAATCGCGCCGCCCCGTTAGCGCCGCGCCGCCCTGCCCTGCCCTGCGTCGCGCTGCCGTGCACGCCCTGCCCTGCCTTGCCCACGCGCCACTCGCCGCCGCGCCGCATTGCCCTGCCCGCGCGCTGCTCACTACCGCGCGCCCTGCCCTGCCCGCTCGCTGCCTGCTGCTGCGCGCCCTGCCCTTCCCGCGCGCCGAGCGCCGCCGCGCGCTCTGCCCTGCCCGCGCGCCGCTCGCCGCTGCGTCGCGCGCCGTGCCCGCGCGCCACGCGCTCTGCCCTGCCCGCGCGCCGCTCGCCGCCGCGTCGCGCGCCCTGCCCGCGGGCTGATCGCCGCCGCGCCGCGCCGCTCATCCCGCGCGCTGCTTGCCGCCGAGCGCCCTGCCCTGCCCGCGCGTCACTCGCCGCCGCGCGCCCTGCACTGCCCGCGCGTTGCTCGCCGCCACACGCCCCGCCCTGCCCGCGCCGCGCCGCGCTGCCCGCGCGCTGCCCGCCGCCGCGCGCTCTGCCCTGCCCGCGCGCTGCCCGCCGCCGAGCCGCCCTGCCTTGCCTGCGCGCCACTGGCCGCCGCGCCACCTGCCCTGCCCGCGCGCGCCTCTTGCAGCCGCGCCGCCCTGCCCTGCCTGCGTGCTGCCGTGCTGGCTGCCGCCCTGTCCTGCCTTGCTTGCGTGCTGCCCTGCTACTAGCGCGCCCTACTGCTCTGCCCGCTATGGCCACTCTCAGTGTACTCTCGTTCGATGCAGAGGGCCGTCCGATAGAGTTCGACGCGTGGCTAGACGACCTGCAGCTGTACTTACTGAGCGACTCTAAGGACGGTGTTTCACTGTTTGACCTCACGTCTGGCGCATCTCTCGCCCCTGCAGCCACAGCTGACAGTGTAGCTCGCTCACAGTGGCTTACCTGTGACGCTGCTGCTCGCTTAGCCGTTCGCAACCACCTGCCGTTAGCCGAACGCGCTCACTTCGGACAGCACAAGACTTCGAAAGCCCTGTACGACGCTGTAGTCGCTCGTTACTCCTCCCCGGCCACTGCTGCTCTAGGCCACCTTCTCCTGCCCTACCTGTTCCCAGAGCTGTCCGCCTTTGCCACAGTCGCCGACCTCGTCACTCACCTTCGCACTAGTGACGTCCGCTACCGGGCCGCGATTCCCGCCGAGTTCCTCACCAAGAACCCTCCTCCCATGTACATCACTCTCTACTTCATAGTCACCAGCCTCCCTGACTCTCTTAGCGCTGTCAGGGACCTCCTTCTCGCCCTTGACCCCACAGACCTCACTGTCGACCTGCTCGAGAAGCACCTCCTTGCAGCTGAGACTAGCATAGTCGCAGTAGGCGCTTCTCGTGGCACTCCTCGCACTCCCTTCTTTGAGGGGTGTTCGCCCTCTCCCCTTATCCCCTCAGTCGCCTCTGCTGCAGCTGTTGACTACCTTCGTGCTGAGGAGGTAGGAGCTGCGTCTGCCCCTAGTGGGAGGCGCCGCAGCGGCAGGGGCCGGGGAGGCAGGGGCGGTGGGGGCGGCAGAGGTGGAGGCGGTGGTGGGGGCGGTGGGGGCGGTGGAGGGGGCGGCGGTGGCGGGGGGAGTGGTGGTGGGGGTGGAGGCGTAGGTGGCGGCGGTGGTGGCGGCAGTGGGAGTGGTGGCGGCGGCAGTGGTGGCGGCAGTGGGAGTGGAGGCGGCGGCAGTGGTGGCGGCCGGGGTGGTAGCAGCCAGAGGGGAGGCCTTGGCGGTGGTCAGAGGCAGCAGCAGCAGCGTCAGCGTGAGACCGTTTCGCCTCAGGAGCTACGTGAGTGGTTTGCTCAGCGTGGGGCGGCTGGGGGTAGTGGTCGCTGCCCGTATGTCATTCGCACAGGTGACCGCACTGGTCAGACATGCGGGAAGCTTCACACCTAGTACCGCTGCTTCTCTCGTCTTGACGACGCCTTTCGAGCAGAGTTTCCCGACTCGGCTGAGCTCCCCCGCTGGGCAGAGCTGCTTAGGCAGGGTGTTGATATCTTTGCTCTTGATTATGAAGCTATCCTTGCTGCCATGTATGCATTGACTGTTAGTGCTGAGGGTGACTGTTACCTGTGCATGCCGCCAGACCCAGGTATAGAGGCTGCTGCTCTAGGTGCTCGTGAGTCTGCTGCTCTAGGTGCTAGTGAGTCTGCTCTCTCTGGTACTGCGTCTGCTGCGGCCTTGCACACCTTCACGCTTGAATAAGGTGCTTCCCGCTGTTTCTTTCGCGACAGTACCACTGTCACACCGCTCTCTGCACCTGTTGCTGTCTCTCTGGCTGACCCCTCTTGGGGCCCAGTCCTTGCACGTTCCTCGACTATTCTGCCGTGTCCGGCGGTTCCGTCTGGCTCACTGCCAGGTCTTCACCTCCCCTCGTTCTCTACGAACTTGGTGAGCAACGCCGTCCTTCAGGATGAGTGGGTTGATACCTTCACCCCTGGAGGACAGCGTGTGGCGATCTGTACGTGCTCCCGGACTGGCCGGCACCTGGCCACGTTCACTCGTCGGCCTGGGTCGAGTCTGTACACACTGACCACTGCGCCCCCTCAGGTAGCTGCGTCTGCGTCTGCGTCAGGTCAGCTAGCGGCCCCCTACTCGTGTCACGCCCTGTCGCACCAGACGCTCCTTTGGCACCACCGCCTTGATTACCCCTCCGTGGCACGCCTCCGTGGCATGCATTCCCGTCTCCTTGTCTCTGGTCTTCCCAGTTCTCTACCTCCCCTCCCACCCTCGCTTGCCCCTCCCTGTCTTCCCTGTGTCGAGGGGCGGCAGCGCGCCGCTCCTCACTCCTCCTCGTTTCCCCCGACGACTGCTCCCCTGCAGACTCTCCACATGGACGTGTGGGGCCCAGCCCGCGTCCGTGGACAGGGCCGCGAGCGCTACTTTCTACTGGTTGTCGACGACTACACGCGTTACACCACGGTCTTCCCCTTGCGCACCAAGGGGGAGGTCCCTGATGTTTTGATCCCTTGGATCCGCGCTGTTCGTCTCCAGCTCTGCGAGCGGTTCGAGACGGACCTTCCCGTCCTGCGTCTGCAATCTGACAGAGGTGGTGAGTTTTCCTCCGACCTCTTGCGGGACTTTTGTCGTGGGGAGGGCATTTGCCAGACGTTCACGCTTCCGGCCTCTCCGCAGTAGAATGGGGTTGCTGAGCGCCGCATTGGCTTAGTCATGGAGGTCGCTCGTACCTCCAAATCCATGCGGCTGCCCCCCATTTTCTGTGGCCATTTGCGGTCCGATACGCTGCGCATCAGCTCAACCTTTGGCCCCGTGTCTCCTTGCCGGAGACCTCGCCGACACTGCGTTGGACGGGAGAGGTTTGCGATGCGTCGGTGTTTTGGGTCTGGGGCTCTCGTGCCTTTGTCCGCGATACGTCCGCGGACAAGCTCTCCGCTCGCGCCATTCCCTGCATCTTCCTTGGCTTTCCCCCTGACGCGCCTGGCTGGCAGTTTTACCACCCCACCTCGCGCCGTGTCCTGCCCTCTCAGGACATCACGTTTGACGAGTCGGTTCCCTTTTACCGTCTCTTCCCCTACCGCACTGCCCCTCTCCCCCCCTCGCCGCTCTTCCTCGCACCAGGTCCTCCTCCGGTAGACCCCCTCCCCCCTCAGGGTCCTGCCCCCTCATGTGTGTCCCAGGTAGACCCTGTCGAGCCTGTCGAGGTAGCTGTCGACTCTGGTGCTGCTAGGGGTGCTGCGTCTGGGGGTGCTGAGCCTGCGGGTGCGGGGCCTGGGGGTGCTGAGCCTGAGCGTGCGGAGCCTGGGGGTGCTGAGCCAGGGGTTGCTGAGTCCGAGGGTGCGGAGCCTGGGGGTGCTGAGCCTGAGCATGCGGAGCCTGGGGGTGCTGAGCCTGAGCGTGCGGAGTCTGGGGGTGCTGAGCCTGGGGGTGCTGAGCCTGGGGGTGCTGGGCCTGAGCGTGCTGCGCCTGGAGGTACTTTGTCTTCTGGAGGTCCTACGGGTGTCTTGTCACGGCGGGAGCCACTCTCTTCACCGCAGCTGCGCGAGTGCTTTGCTCGGCGCTGGAGCCGCGCTGCTAGAGCTGGGGGGCCTACCGCTGGAGGCCCTGGAGTTGGAGGCACTGGAGCTGCTGGTCCCGGAGGTGCTCGTACTGGAGGTACTGGAGCTGCTGGAGCTGGAGGTGCTACACGAGTTGGAGCTGGAGCTGCTGGAGGTGCTGGAGCCGTTGGTCCCGGAGGTGCTCGTACTGGAGGTACTGGAGCTGATGGTGCTGGAGGTGCTGCTGGAGCTGGAGCTGCTGGAGGTGCTGGAGCCGCTGGTCCCGGAGGTACTCGTACTGGAGGTACTGGAGCTGCTAGAGCTGGAGGAGCTGCTGCAGCTGGAGCTGCTGGAGGTGCTGGAGCCGCTGGTCCCGGAGGTGCTCGTACTGGAGGTACTGGAGCTGCTAGAGCTGGAGGTGCTACTGGAGTTGCTGGAGCTGCTGGAGCTGGAGGTGCTGCAGGAGTTGGACCAGGAGCCGATGGAGGTACTGGAGCTGCTGGAGCTGGTGGTGCTGCAGGCGTTAGAGCTGGAGACCCTGGAGCTGGAGGTGCTGGCCCTGGGGGTACTGTCGATGCTGGTTCTGGAGGCGCTGTGCGGCCACGACCGTACTTCGCACTGCTTCAGCAAGTTCTTGGTCTCCTGCCTTCTGCTGGCCTTACTCCTCCCTTACTGTGTCCACCGCCTGACCAGTCCCTACCGCAGTTACAGCCAGCCTCCCCACTGCCTGCTCCTTCTCCTTACACTGAGCAGCCCGGAGGTCTTACAGAGCGTCGTGAGCCTGCGTCTCGTCCTGCGTCGCCTGTTCGCGCTGTTCGCACTGGTCGCCATGTTCCGCGTCAGCGTCCTCCTCCTGTCCCCGGCACGCACCAGGTGGCACTTCGCCCTTCCTCTGTTCCAGTGCGTGTCCCTCTGCCATCTCCTCCTGCGTCCTCTCTTCCTGACGTCCCTGACCCGCCGTCAGAAATTGCTCGTGCTGTCAGTCCTACTGTCACACGTCTTCTAGCTACTGCTGTCACTGACCCTTCATTTGAGTCCACTACTGCATCTGACCTAGTTGCTGAGCTTGTTGACTTTGCTGCTGCCTGTCGCCTCGACTACGCCGCTAGTCTTGTTGCTGAGTCTGAGTTTGTCTGTCCTCCGTCCGTCGGGGGTGAGTGTGCTCTTGGCACGGACGTCCTTGAGGACAGACAGGAGGAGTTTGAGTGTTTTGCAGCTGCTGTACCTCATCTCGTGTCCATGCTGATTGCACCTGAGGGAGACCCGGATGCACCAGACATCCCGACCCCGCGCTCTTACGCAGAGGCGATTGACGGTCCCTACTCCTCTCAGTGGCAGACAGCCATGGACGCAGAGATGGCATCCTGGAAGTCCACAGGCACTTACGTCGACGAGGTTCCCCCACCTGGGGCGAACATCGTCAGTGGCATGTGGATTTTCAGGGTGAAGCGGCCGCCGGGTTCTCCGCCTGTCTTCAAGGCGCGTTACGTTGCACGAGGCTTCAGTCAGCGACAGGGAGTTGACTTTTTCCAGACCTTCTCCCCTACCCCGAAGATGACCACTCTTCGGGTTCTGCTGCACGTCGCCGCTCAGCGTGACTACGAGCTTCACTATCTTGACTTCAGCAGAGCTTTCCTACAGGGCAGCCTGCACGAGGAGATCTGGCTGCGCCGCCCACCTGGATTCACTGGGTCGTTTGCTGCAGGTGCCCAGTGGAGCCTCCGGCGGCCAGTCTACGGTCTCCGCCAGGCGCCTCGCGAGTGGCACGACACACTGATGACGACGCTTGCGGCTCTTGGGTTTGCTCCTTCGACTGCTGACCCGTCGCTGTTTCTACGCACCGACACCTCGCTGCCGCCGTTCTACATCATCGTGTGCGTCGACGACTTGGTCTTTGCCACAGCTGACACTGAGGGACTGGCCCACGTGAAGTCGGAGCTGCAGAAGAGACACACGTGCACAGACCTGGGTGAGCTGCGCGGCTCTCTTGGTTTTTGCAGATCACCCGGGACAGAGCACGGCGCACCATTACCTTGACTCAGTCACACATGGTGCAGCAGGTCCTTCAGCGTTTCCTCTTCACGTACTCCTCGCCACAGTCCACTCCTCTGCCTACCGGTCACTCGCTCTCAGCTCTGACTTCGGATGAGTCCATAGAGCCGAGTGGCCCGTATCCAGAGCTTGTGGGCTGCCTCATGTACCTAATGACCTGCACTCGACCTGACCTTGCTTACCCTCTAAGCATCCTGGCACGCTACGTTGTGCCCGGGAGACACCGACCAGAGCACTGGGAGGCCGCTAAGAGGGTGATGCGCTACTTGTGCAGTACGTCGGGCATGGGGCTCGTGCTTGGAGGACGGGCTTGAGTTGTCCTCACTGGTCACGCAGACGCTTCTTGGGTTGATGACTTGGCTACGCAGCGGTCGTCACAGGGTTACACCTTCAGCCTTGGTTCCTGCTCTGTTTCTTGGCGGTCTACCCGCTTGTCTTCTGTTCTCAGTTCCAGTTGTGAGGCTGAGATCTACGCAGGGGCCATGGCTGCACAGGAGTTACGCTGGCTCACCTACCTGCTGACCGACTTGGGCGAGCCGCCTCGTTCTCCTCCAGTTCTGTACGTCGACAACAAGGCCATGATTGCCTTGTGTCAGGAGCACAGACTGGAGCACAGGACGAAGCACATCGCTCTGCGTTACTTCCTTGCTCGAGAGTTGCAGCAGCGTGGACAGCTTCGTCTTGCTTACGTGGCCTCTCGGGCCAACACTGCTGATATCTTCACCAAGGCACTTCAGCCTTGTGATCATCATCGTTTCTGTACTGTTCTAGGCCTTGTGCCTACTTGGCCTCACTTGCTCACTTCTTGACTTTGCTTGTACTGTGATCTATATGCTTATACCTGCATGCTTACACTTGCTAGGTTTTGATCACTATACTGCTTGTTGTGCTTTATATAACTCTGCATGTGAACTGGCCTAGTGGCCATTTGCTTGTGCTCAGAATGTGTGGTGACTTCGTGATCCACCCTGAGCTTGCTTTGCTTTTCTTGACTGGTCTTGTGACCTCTTGTTCTCCCCCACTTTGCCTATGGGGGTGTGTCGAACTTATAAGCTGCATATTGTGTAGGCTATAGTGGGGTAGCCCATATGGGGTACAACCCAATTAAGGTTTGCTACTTGTACTCCTGCATGCTGCTAGTGCATTCATTATCGTTCATTCTGCTGACACAGTGAGCTCATGCCTTGCTTCAGTGAGCTCACGCCTTGCTGCAGTGAGCTCACGCCTTGCTACGGCAGCCCACTTGCTCCTCTGCCGGTGCCTTGCTGCAACTCTCTGGCGCCTTGTAGCATGGCGATGCCCAGCTCGTTGCACCAATGCACCTTGCTTGCTGGAGCCTTGCTGCACACCAGCGTGGTGTGTGTGACCCCAGTGGATCTATGCTTCAAACCACGATTGTGAGTCGTCAAATTCGGTTTTCTTTTGTACTTATCATATTTCAACCCATACTTGCTTTTGAAGTTCCATTTCACAATCAAGTGCGTGCTCGTCATTGAATAATACCCCGTTTTCCGACTACAATTCATTTTCTACTTGACCTGTTTGTTTTGCAAGTTGTGCGAGACGCGTTGTGGGGAGCAGGGAGGGGAATTCGAGAGAGAAGACAATGTGGAAAAGGGTGGGAGGAGATTTTGATGGTAGAGGGAGAGGAAGGAAGGCGGAAAGGGGGAGGAAGGGGGGACAATGTAGCAGTGATTGATACATAATTAACTTATTGCAACTCTTTGTTATGCTTGTCTGCTCTCGATCCTATTTGTGTATGTATGTGTGTGTGGTGCAGGTGTGTTTGTGCGGGTGTGTGTTCATGTCTTCTCATTGTGTTTGTTTCATTGTGGGGTTGCATTTCGATGCGTTCGGTTACGTGGGTTGTACTTTTTTACGTGCGTTTGCATTCGTGTTTGTGGGATGTGTGTTTCAAAGTGTGGTGTTAATATCAGGCCCTCAGATTCACTTTAAGCGTCGTATACCCATCAGTGTCCCCATGTGTGTAAACACTGATTGACAGTGTTAGCTAAAAAAAAAGGCTGAAATGACAGTGTTGTCCTAAAAGAGAGACTGATCCAAAAAAAAAGGCTGAAATGACAGTGTTGTCCTAAAAGAGAGACTGATCCATCAGGGTTGCAAAATTAAAAAAGCTGAAGCTATTAAACGTCATGGTTTTAAGCACAGGAAGATAGTAGCTTCCTTCCTACCTAGAACAGAGTATCTGCTCTTATCTAATAGGAGTCATGCGTCCTTCAGCATCGGAATCAGAGTCTTCATCATCACTCCCCTGCACCTTTGGTTCTTCCCACTCCTCAAGTGCCTCCTTTCCCCTGCCACTTCCCTCCCCCTCTCTTGCTGCAGGTGTTGCTGCTGCTGCTGCCACATTTCCAAATGGCCGGCGCTTCTTGTAGCTGCGCCAGATGTTCACCAGTTCGTTGTAGTCGGGCTCGTAGTCGAGGAGCGACATCGTGACGAGATCTTCAAGCCGTGCGTCTTTGAGGCTCCCACGCTGCCATGACTTGATGATATTCTGGCGGGAAAACCCGCGCTCACATTCCACTGTGCTCAGCGGAAGCACTGCGACTGCCACCCAGAGATGCACGAGGTTGGGGTAGCTAGTCGACCAGTCACTTGTCTTCAGCATCGCTGTTAGACCGGCGTGGAAGCTTCGCTCGTTCTTCGGGGCACCTGCGAGTATGGGGCAGAAGGCACGCAGTTCTTTGATCGCCCGCCGTTTGTCGATCCCTGCCACACAACACAGAAGGGGGGTTGTCAGTTAGCTTGGATGGCGTGGCATGGTATACACGTGTACAGAAAACACTGCTGAACCATAGGATCAAAGAGACATCATGGACAACACGGGTTTAGAGTAAGAGCGTACCTGGAAGGATGTGATCAGTCTCCTGTGCCCTGAACAGCGAGACGAGTGACATGAGCCACTCGAGACACTGTTTGTGGCGCTCCGATCTCCCCGCCGTGCTGTACTCGTCTGGCATGAAGAGCCTCACTCCCACGAGGGAGTCCAAGTCTGCAAACCTCGTGCTGAGGTTTCTGACGAGCGTCTCGGCAAAAGTGGTGCAGAGGTCGACGCAGTTGTCGTGTGTTCCAAGAGTTGGGTAGTCCTCGTTTGGCTTCTCATGCTGTTGGAACTTGTGTGTTGTCGGGCGACCGTCAGAGTCCACACCCTGCACCGTCACCTCGGGCTTGTCACTGTCAGGCCCGTACTTCATGATGAACGGGGACAGGCGCGCGCTCAACCCGCCTCCAAAATCGTCACCGCAGTCGACGTAGCGGCTCTCCAGGTGAGACAAGGTTCTCCTGATCTGCGCATGGACACCTGCGATGTCGAGCTATGAGAGGGGGACACAGTTTACACAGAGCGACACAAGGAAAGACAGCCAGATGGGTGATATTTCAATCAATGCATGTTATGCTTAAGCAGGAACAATGTAAAATCATTGACATAGACACACGGAACACACGCATACAATAAGTAGAAATCAAGAGAACTGCTGCAAAGGCTGAGAGGAGTTGTGGCTCACCTCTCGCTGCTGGAACGATTTGTTCAAGATGTTCAGCTGCTCGAGCACGTCTGCAAGGAAGAACAGCAAGAAATGGAACCTGTAGCTGGTGGCGAGCTCGTACAGAGTTTCGTCCCACTCATACAGCATGACGAGTAGCGCTGGGAAGACCGTCACCGTTCGCAAAACGGCATCACCCCTGCTCAGCCAGCGGACTTGATGGATGCCTTGAAGCTCCAGGTTCGTAGCAGTGAAGAGTTCCTGGAGCTCCAGAAATCGTTGGTGCCAGGGGCTGGAACGGCCGAGATACTCGGCCACTTGACGGATCAGCCCGTCCACCATGTCAAACTCGGGGATTGCCTCCGCTGCATCTTTTGCCGCGAGGGCCTCCCTGCAGGCACAACACAGGACAAACATGCCACACGGGGTAAGCTATCAGCATGAACGAGATTCGGAAAGGTAAGGGTGCCGCGGGTACTTATGCGGAAAGTACCTGTGAGCAACGCAGTGGCTTGAGACGAGATGCGGTATGCGGACGCGCAGACGAGCGACAAGACCATTCTTGTGTCCCATCATCACACTCGCGCCATCGGTGCTCATTCCAGCGATCTTGCCAAGCTCGATGCCGAGGGCCTGCAGGTGGGACAGAAACACTGCGAGGAGAGAGGCGGCGTCGCACTTCTCCACGGTCAGCAACGCAAGGAATTCAGTGACGACGCGATTCTCACGGATGAACGTCGCGAAAATGATCATGCGCTTTCCTCGGCACCTGTCCGTGCTCTCGTCACAGGTAACGCCGATGAAAGGGCTTGTAAGGAGGTGCTGGAGTTGAGTTGTGTGCAACCACGTGGCAATCGCTTGTGTTAGTTGCCCAAAGCCGTACCTGCGCGCAAGGTTTGTCAATGTTAGACATTAAAAAATAAAGAATATAAGTGCAACAACACAAGCACAAGGTAACAGCTAGTAACTTACGTTGTGTAGTAGGTTCCGTAACCTTTCGCGGGGAATCCCGGAACCTTCTTGGTGGCGAGATACCGAACAAGTTGCACCCATAACTCAATGGGTGCATCTTGCTTGGTAACGAAGAGCAGGGAGTCGCACAGCTCGATGACGCGCTCCTTCTCGGTGTCGCGAGCGAGGTTGTCAGCGTTGATCCGTGGCTGCCGGCCAGCTTCAGCAAGAAGCTTCTCCTGGTGCTTGACCGCCTCCTTGTGCTTCGTGGTAGCTGCGTGTCGCTTGAAAGCTTGAGTCTGAACGTCCGAGGCACCCCTTCCGCCCTTCCCGCACTTTCCTGCGTAACCTGCATGCTCGGTACAGATAGAGCATTTGAATGCTGGGAGACCATCAGTTTGCCGCAAGAGGATGAGCCATGAAAACCTGTCTAGCCACTCGGTCTTGTACTTATACAGACACTCGGCGTAAATCGCATCACGGGAAGATTGCTTAGAGGGACCAGGAACCGATGGCGTCTCTTGCGGGCCGGCAATCACGGGCGTCGATCGTTGGTCGGCTGGCGAAGGCGTGGTTGCACCGTCGTCAACGCCCTTTGTCAACCAGGGTAGCGTTGACTGCAGATAGCGGCCTGATTTTTTAGCAACGGGTTCGGGAGTCGGTTTTCCAGCTGGAGGCGGCGAGCTGTCCTGCTCCGTGACTGGCGCTGTCGGAGATGCACACCAGTCCTCCAACTCGATGTGCTCAAACGGGATTTTGTCGGGCGGATCTTGTTCTCGTGGCTTCTCGGTGTGGGTAACTTCCGCTATGCTAGAAAATAATAAATCAAGGTCGGTAACTGCATCTGGACGGACTACATGCGGCTGGCGGTGCGCATCACCACCCTGTTCGCTGCTTGTTTCCGTGCCGTCAGGCGGTTCTACCATGGTAAGCAGCGGGGACGCCCTCCCCTCTAAGCTAGTAACGTGTGCAGAGCAGATGCGGGGGATTGCACAGGCAAAGACAAAGCCACGGCTGGCTGCCTCTTGGTACACTAGGAAGAAAGGGGCAAACCTAGCTACGAATGCAAAGGTTGGAGAAGAAAGGGGTTGATGGCGGGAACGGTGCATGGGCTGGGCGGCGTGGAAGCCTTGACGGTTGGAAGGATGGCAGAGTGCTTGCCAGCACTGCCCGTTCCTAACGCGTCGCAGGTGATGGCAACGGGCCATGAACCTTGCCAGCCCTCCAGCACAACAGCCAGCCCACGTTCGGATTGGCCAAGAGTTGATGCTGCAGTGACACGGCCCAATGGTGTGAGGCGCCGCGCCAAAAATACACCTCCCAACGTGCACCTGTGGTAAAAAATCCCAGGTTGGACTCGCCACGCGGTGCGAAACTCGGCGGGAATCCAAGATTCCCTGTAATTGGGGTCACATCCACACGATGCAGATAAGATTCGCTTTCAGTGTTCGGTTCGTTACAACGTCGTGGCATCAGTGTAACAGGCAAAAAAAAACTGAAATATCAGTGTGGCCTAAAACAAAAGCCTGGAAAATCAGTCCCATAAAAATCTCAACACGGAGATTTCAGGGTAGGTTCAAAATGGGGTGCCAAAATCAGGAATTTCAGGAATTTTTTCCTGATATCTGAGGCCCTGGTTAATATGTGTTATGTATGCAATTAGAGGTTGTTAATCGTCTTTGGGGCAGCGTGTTTTCGCTGTTTCAACGACCCCATCAACCTCTGTTGCTGCATGATGCATTTTAACATTCACTTTGAAGCATCCACTCCACCTCATACCTTGTTGTTCATTTGTACAATTGCACTCGTTCATGTTGATGGCAAAATATTATGCTCGGCCGTACGATCCGCCGTATTTATCGACGAGGTTGGGACGGTCGAGCAAGTTTATGGTTTCAACATGATACGTACGTGTTTACATATCGGGATCCCATTCAAGAGTGCTTTATATCCACTATTTGAGGCATCCGTTTGAACACAGTTTCAAAACATTCATACGGGTGCTCTAAAAAGTGCGTAAATAACACTCTTCAAGTGATATCCCCAAAATGTGAAACCAAGTATATAGGGTTGCTACGCAACCCAAAAATGGCTTGGGTGTAAAAATCACTGAAATTGGCGTTATCATTTTGGTATGACACTGCTGGACTTGTAAGGGGGACGCTAGTTGTGAGTTCCATGTTTTATGCGGGGTCAGTTTGGCACGAAAGGGCGAAGGCGGGCGAGCAGCGCTCATTTGTCGTCAGAGCTTTTGCACGAAGTCGCTTGACGAGTTACATGGTTGATCTTCGTGCCATGGAGAACTTCATTGGCCTGGTGCACAGGTTGGATGCCACATCGTGTTACATGTGTTGCTGACAGCATCACACTCAAGGGCGAATCAAAACTGTTGCCGACAGCATCACTCTCAAGGGCGAATCAGAAGACATTCCCAACACTTTGATGGACCCATGCTGTGGTGTACACACATCACGGTACTGCCAGTGCACTTCCATCGTCACTGGCAGCAACAGCTTGCGCCTCGCGCCAGCGACGAGAAACATGGGATGGGATGGGATGGGAAGGAAAGAGAGGGGGGAAGGGGAGCACGAAACACGATTCACCTCACCACGACGCTTTGCGGAGCGTTGGGAGCCTCGTGTCCTGTGCTCTGTCCCCCAAATTCCCTCTCCCTGGATTCCCCTCTCCCCCACAAACGCACAGCATATGAGGCCAACACATTCACAAAATAATACACAGCAGAACATTGATACACCCCCCACTCTTTTCTAACTCATCCCAAATAGCTTGCTTCCCCATGGCTGCCTCACGTTTCTTTCTCCTAACTTTGGCCCTGGCAGCTGTCGTGAGCGTCAATGCCGGGCGTCTTCCAGCGCCGTCCCGGCTGGCATTGCCGACAGATAAGCCCCAGCTAGCCGCGGTGCAGGGCTACTCCCCAGAGTACCTCAAGTTCCTCATCCGAAGCGCCACCTCTCAGGCCATCACTGCGCTGAGCGCTGGTAACCTGCTCTTCGCCTCGCGAATTTTCGCGACCTTCGTCACGCTTTACCCGTCTCACGCCGAACCGATGTCGCTGTATAGCCCAATGGAAAAGCAGCAAGCTCTCAAGGTCCTGGTGGATAAGAACCTCACCATCACGCACACCATCACCGGCATCTCCATTGCAAAAGACTCCACCGTTGGCCTCGCGCACGGGAATGGCGCGGAATCAGGACCGTCCAACGATATCAAGGAGATCTACTGCGAGGGGTCGTACAAGCTAATCGACCGTGCAACACAGACGATCAAGGCCAAGGGGAACTATATTGCCACGTGGACGCCATCGTCGCCGTTCGTTGGCGATCTGAAAAACGACATCGATTACGTTGGTCTGAGCCGGCTTATGTGGACCAAGTATTAACGGCGTGAGTTGGCGAGACTACCAGAAGAAGAAACAGATCTGCTCACACAGAGATGAGATACAGCTGGGTATACCAGGTGATTGCGGATGTTGCATGGCGTGTGCTTCCAGTGCAACATCACTGCTTAAGCTGGCTGCCGTTACCAGTGCGATGATGATACATATACCTTTTCTAGCCGTTTCGTAGATAACATGGCACCTGTCGACCATCTTACTCGTTCTGATCCACAATTTAGGGCAGTGGGCCATGCTTTCCCTAACGTTCTACATTACTATATATGACATACTAAGATTTCAACATTACTGGACAGCAGTCATCTGTGCTCATCATGCAATCAACAAATCAACCTTCGGTGTGGTAGCTCCCTCTGTTCATTCCAGGAACACTATCTAGTTACTGTTGTTGGCAGGCTCAGCAAGCTGCAGCTCCAGACAGCATTGCACATTTCAGAAACGGTGGGATGGAAGAGCAAGGAAAGACGTCATGGTCCCGAGACCCAAGGCCCCAGATGTTGAGGTACCCGGCGCACCTTACCCTGGACCACGTTGGGGCCGGCCGATGATTGCAGCACGTGGGACGAATCTGCACTCGGAGCTGACGACGACGTGGCTGAGGACGAGGAAGCGAGCCGTGCTGACGGCGACGAGGCTGCGGAAGCTGGCGCGCAGGGCGGAACCGCAGAGGATGTGTTTCCTGAGGGTGTACCTGGTGGCGACGACGACGACGGTGTCGAGTACTGGTCACGTGACGGGCTCCCCGAGGAACTGCCGATACCTTCCTTTCCACCAGCTAACCGCAAGCGACCCCACCCGTCTACCCAGAACCGTGATGCCCGCCCCCCCTCTCCCAGGCACAAGATCAGCGATCACAAGCGCAAAGGCTACACAGCTACGGAGAAGTTGAAGTACGTCGCGATGCTGGACGTGGCGGTGTCGGTGCGCGCACTAGCTAGGGCGAGTGGGATTCACCGGAAGTGTCTCGCCAACTGGAAGGCGGCTGCAGCATTTCTCAAAGAAGCACACACCGGGCGGAAGCGCATGCACGGTCGCGGGCGGGCCTCGTGGTACCACCCCATGGAGTTGAAGGTATACGAGCGGCTCCTAGACTGGCGCCGCAGAGGAACCGCCGTGTCGGTCGGCCGTCTGCGGGAGTGGTCGAGGGAGTTCATGAAGATCCTCTACCCGGACGACAAGTGGAGCGGGAGTCAGAGATGGTCGGAGCGGTTTCGGAAGCGGTGGAATCTGAGCGTACGCATGAAGACGCGGGTTGCTCAGAAAACAGCCGCTCGTAAGATTACGCCCCTTGCTTTTACCGGTAAGTCTAAGTTTCTGCCTCCCTTACTAATCTGCCCTCTATCCCGCCCGCCTTTTCCCCCGTCTAACAGATGTTGCGCAGCAGTGCCAGAACTTCTGGCGTTTTGTCCGAGACATGCGTCGCGCGCGCGGCATTGAGACTACCTGGATCCTCAACGCTGACCAGACGCCGCTCTGGCTGGAGATGCCCGCCTTCACGACCGTGGATCAGACGGGCGTACGGTCGGTGCCCATCCGGAGTGCAGGTTACCAGAAGGAGCGTGTGACCGTGATGCTGGCGTGCATGGCGGACGGGGCGAAGCTCAAGCCGTGGGTGTATTTCAAGCGGAAGACGCTGCCGAAGGGCGACTTTCCCCGGGGTAATAAGCAGCAACTACCGCTGTCTTACCATATGTTTTTGTTTCTCATGCCGCGCTAACACTTTAAGTGCCATTTGTGTGTGCAGATGTGGTCGTGGCTTGCCACGAGAACGGGTGGATGAACGCAGAAGGCGTCATCCGCTGGCTTGAGGAGGAAGTCAAGCCCTTCTTGAAGCCCCGGTTTGGCAGGTGTGCGAAGAGCTCCATGCTCGTGCTGGATTCCTACCGCGGCCACCTTACCGATGGGGTGAAGGAGAAGCTCCGCGAGATCAACTGCGTGCCTGCTGTCATCCCGTCGGGCTGTACGGCTGATGTTCAACCGCTCGACGTCTCCATCAACAAGAGCTTCAAAGCATCTGTTCGACAGCAGTACCAGAAGTGGTTTGAGGAGGAGGGCCTGGAGCAGCTGACACCAGCAGGTACGTTGTTTCCGTTATTCACGCATGTTAATCCCCCCCTCACCCTTGGATGCTGACACGGCTTTCCCGGGTGTCTCTGTTGTGGTGCAGGGAATCTGAAGAAGCCCCCCCCAGAAGTGGTCCTTCGATGGATTTCACGGGCCTGGAAAGCAGTACCCTCCGACCTCATCAAGCGCGCCTTTCTCACCTGCGGCATTAGCAACGCCCTTGACGGCAGTGAGGACCACCTCGCCATGGCGCACAGGCGGAGCCAGCTGACGGCGGAAGTGGATGTAGACGACGGCATCGTCGCCGACGGCTTCTTTTGTTAGAAAGAAGAAGTGATCGGACTAGAAAGGAATGAGAGTACAAGTACCTAACCCTAGAGTAATGTACCCCCTAAAGGCTAACCCACTGTAGCCTACACAAATACAACATATATATTGTTTGACACACCCCCATAGGCTAAGTGGGGGAGAGCAAGCGGTCACAAGACCAGTCAAAGCAAAGCAAAGCAAGACAAGCTCAGGGTGGATCTCAAGGATACCACACAAATTCCGAGCACAAGCAAGTGGTCACAAGACCAGTTCACATGCAGTTTGATAATATAGCAAGAGGTACAGTGATCACAATCTAGC